TGGAAAGATACACCTGAGAAAGCTTTTTTTTTGCCCTTTTCACATGTGGGGGTGAGGACGGGTGTTGTGAGGAGGCCCTTGACGAATGCGCGAATACTACGCAAAGTTACGTTTCGTGTGAATACCACGCAGAGGCTTCTTCTCTGATCTTTTTTTGTTTGTTTGTTTTCAACCAACGAATGCACATGTTCAAAACGAAGGGGGGACCACCACCCCAAGGGTAAACCAAAACAGGACACAAGATCGACACTGAGCCAGACACAGAAACCGGTACTGGTGCTCACCTGCAAGCGGAAACAACAGTAGAGGGATTGCCCGTTTCCCTCCACTAACAAGGATCTTCCTGGTGCTCCTGTAAAAGATAATTCAGTCGCGAAATTGACTACGGATTCTCTCTCTCTCACACACACACACACACCACGTGCAGATGGGCTGTGTGGTTGTACGGAACCCGGAATGCACACATCCACGAAGAGAGGGGCGGGCCATGCCGAGGCGGGCCTAAATACCAGATAGGCTCTCATGACCGACACTGACACAGACGGAGGATATTGTACTTACCTGCAGGTGGACAAATCCACAAAGGCTGATGAAAGGAAAGACGCTGCAGAGACTGTGCCAACTTCGGCCCGGCAAATGAATGCAAATGAGGTGAGGGTGGGAAACCCAGGAGAGAGAGAGAGAGAGAGAGAGAGAGAGAGAGAGAGAGAGAGAGAGAGAGAGAGAGAGAGAGAGAGAGAGAGAGAGCTCCCTTTCTCAGCTCTCTAGAGGTTGGCATGCTGGCCCTGCCCGGCTGACTCCTTGTTCATCCCTCCGAAGGCGGTGGTTGTGGTGGGACTAGAACATGAGGAGGGCCCGAACACCTGGGACAAGGGTCAGGAAAGAGTACGTGCCAAGACCTCAAACGCAGAGGATGCACGGGCACTCACTACATAGGGCTAGTGAGATTACGGTACCACCGACGGCTGTGTCATCCTAGGCACACAGGCAATAGGGAGCGAGTCGCGAGAAGGAACCGAGGGACACTAAACAGCCCAACAGTCAACAAGACTTGCACGAAGAACGAAGACGAAGAGGGGGGCGCAATACTCGCAGCAACCTGGACTAAGTAAAAATGGGCAAACATCCCCCAGGCAATGGAAGGACCGGGGCCCAGGCAAACTTAACGAGCACCAATAAACTCGGGACGACTCTGGCCGAGACATGCAGCAGTACCTAAACATAGACTACTGGTTGCAGGTAGCCAAGGGACTGAAAAATTGTGAAAATTCTATTACTGCAAGATCAAGCGCCGAGTGACCGTCCAACAGGATCTCGTAGAAGGGATTACACATGAACAGACTGTGACAGGCCCGCTGAGGAGCTGATCCCTGAGGGGTGAGCTGATCCCTGAGGAAGGGCTTACTCGTGAACAGACGGTGGCAGGCCCGCTGAGAAGCTGATAACCGCGGAACGGACTACACAGCGAACGGACTACACAGCAAACGGACTACACAGCAAACGGACTACACAGCGAACGGACAGCGGCAGGCCTGCTGAGGAAACCCGTTACCTCCATTACGAGCAGTTGGCCATGCTGCCCCATCATACTCAGGAAAGTGATAGCTTGATGAACATGAACCTCCTATCAGCAGTGTTATCCACCTTTTCAGGTCAGGAGGACGGTTTGACCGCTCACGAAAATGGGCATGACCCGCATGGCCAAGCGCTTGTCTCGCCTTTCCTGCCCAGGAGAAGGGGAAGACTTGGTTGACATGGCGCACGATCAGGTCCTTCCGACCCGGTTGCAACAGCAAACGGCATCCAGCCAAATGGGGAGAGGCATAGACGACGGTCAGCAACAACATCCAGACTGGCAAGAAGTGGTGACAGTCACCTGGAGTGAACCATTGGCAATGAGGTCCATCACCAATATGGGGAAGAGATCCAATGTGACACAGAGCAGCACAAGACTCAGATAGGAATGACTGACGATGCAGCAGAAATGACACTGTGACTCTACTTCAAGCGGACACCCAGCGGGAGGGGTCCAAACATGGAAGAGGCCTCCGGCTGCAATCATAAAATATATGAAGCATGGTGTAACGAGTCTAATGACCCGCCAAAAGAAAACACAGACTGAGAACACTGCTGATTTCTGAGTTCTGCCTCTGGAATGGATGCCTTGCTGCGATTCCTGCACTCTGCTGAGTTTTCTAAGTCTATGCGTGTGTGTGTGTTTGTGTGTGTTTGTGTGTGTGTGCGTGGTGACCTGCGTGCCTGTCTGAGTGCTTGTCGGCCTGAGTGTGTGTGTGACCTGTGTACCTGTCTGAGTGCTTGTCGGCCTGAGTGAGCGTGTGACCTGCAAGATTGCTTGCTTGTTTGGGAGACCCGTAGGGGTGGTACTGACCTGTGGCCGTAACATTTACGGTTGCAGCGGGGGAAAACACTCTCAAGTGGCGGGGCAAAAGGGCCACAACACTTAGAGCAGCGGAAAAACACTCAAGTAGCAGGTCGGCCGGTACCACACCAAGTAGAACTAGATATGCCGGGTACTCGATGCCAAGCAGAAGAAGACAAAAGTCGGCATTTTTAGAGGCCCACTAGTTGTAGGCTAGGTCTAGGCGGGTACCATTCCAACCAGTCTGAGTCTAGAGCCTGTACGGGCAATATCAGAGCCTGCAATGATGTTTCCCTCCGGAAGGGAGGAGATACCGGTGTGAGGATTGAGCCCTCAAGTAGGGGCCTTGCCATGATGTACATGTTCTGGGCTAAGGCCCCAGCAAGCCTCGTGCCCGCCCTAAGTGAAGGAGGGCCAACAAATCAACAAGAGCCCTCTGTGCCAACATTTCACGAAGTGGGGTTCATACAGTTGCAGCACGCCAGTTGGTTGGTGTGCACCGAGTC